AAACAGGGGGTTGGGACAGTCTGGTGACAAGGAGGGAATACAAACGCTTGAGTGTTACAGAGAGTCAAAGGGTGGCAGAAAACTTTTTTGAGATCGAAAAATTGACGAAAGACGGGGAACGGCGGCAAGTGGGAAAGAACAGTGACCTCGGGAAGGCGAGGTCTGGCGGAAGTGGGGTCGGCGGTGTCAAGGGCGGCGGCGGCGAGGGCGGCGGCGGTGGCGGTGGGCTGACGGCGGCGGCGGCGGCGGCGGCAGCGGCGGCGGCGGCGGCGGCGGCGGCGGCGGCGGCGGCGGCGGCGGCGGCGGCGGTGGCGGTGGCAGTGGGGGCAGCAGCGGTGGTGAAGGTGGCGGGAGCGGTGCGGTCGGCCCGGGTGGCAATGGAGAGGGTGGTGGCGGCGAGGGCGGAGGAGGCGAGGGCGGAGGCGAGGGCGGAGGCGAGGGTGGGGTGAATGGCGGGGGCGAGGGCGGCGGCGGGGATGGCCAGAGCGGCGGGGAAGCGAAGGAGACGCGCGAGGAGAAGGTTGCCCGGCTGGAGAAGGAGGGTTGGGGGCAGCAAAACCGCATGCGCCGCGGGCGGGGCGGCGGGCCGGCGCGAGCACTGAGCGCACTGAGCATGTTCTTTCGCATAATCCCGCTGTAGTTTAATATCAGGGCCGGTGTGCGCCGGATCCGGCGGATGCGCGGCAGGCCAGAGGCCGATGTGTGGATGTGCAGGACCACCACACATACGCACCAGAAGTTACACACACAGGGAACACAACAACCACGAGCACACCGGTTAGCCCTGTATCTCGGCAGGCCGCGGGCGGAGGCAGGGTAACGATGATCGATGTGGAGCGTGAGGCTCAGTTGCACGCACCCCAACGTTGCCGCGGTAGTCAGCGTCAATCACGCCGGCGCCCGTGTCGATGAAGTGCTTCCAGGCGAGGCCGGAGCGGGGCGCGATGCGGCCATAGCAGCCCTCCGGCACGATCATCGCCAGGTCCGTCTTGACGAGAGCCTTGCCGCGCGCGGGCACGACGCAGGCGTGCGCGGCCGAGAGGTCGTAGCCAGCGGCGAGCGGCGAGCCGCGCACTGGAAGCTTGGCGTGCTCGGAGAGCCGCTTCACGACGAGGCTGCCGGCCGGCTCGAGGCGCGGCAGCTTGGCGGCGGGGCCGTCCAGCGACCCGGTCGTCGCGATGATGCCGCTAAGCATTTTGTGCACGTGAAGAGCAGGTTTCGGCCTCGACCTGACGCCAGCATGCATGGGTCGGGTGAGCAGAGCAAACGACGGGAGCGCGTGATGGCGCCCTGCGAGCCGGCGCGCAGTGTGCGCTGCGATGAAGACTCGCCGTGTATGATGCGCGCGCAGCAGGGAGAGCGGCGGGCGAGCTTGGATCGCTCTCCGGGCTCCACATCTCCGAGTCGGAGGGAGTGTCGTATTGAGATTGCTTCGCTCCCGCGCGGCGGACGGGCGGCGCACGTGTGGGCGTGCGCAGAACGCGAGCGAGACGTGGGATGTTTGGGGCCGTGCCGTGTCGATTCGACCTACGTTCCCGCTCGGCGAGCCTCGACGCGGCGCAGGAAGCCGTGACGGCTGGTGCTGCACACCGCCATCGCAGCGTGTTGAAAAGGCGCTCTTGTCGCCACCGCGGTGGTGATCGAGCGCGTCGCGCACACGATAAAACGTGCGTACGCGATGGTGGTGAGCTCGGTCGAGGGTGGTGGGCCGAAAACGCGAGTAGGTACGGCCGCGCGGAGCTCGCCAGAAATCGCGCGCTTCGCACAAATCGGCCTGACAGCCCAAGTCCCAACACCACCCGGGGACCACCACCACCCGTGTCCCAAAGTGAGAATTCCGATTGTTCGTCTGTGCGAGGAGCTTTGTTGTTAAGTGACTCGTTCGTTCCCGCTCGTTCGCTTTCCACCCAATGTGTTGATTTGAGAGCTCTGAGAGAGTTGTGTTGTTTGAGCTGTGTGTCAGATTTGTTTTGTCTGTGTCAGTGTCTTGCTTTGCCAACATCATACAAACTAAAACACACTAAAACACACGAAAAAAAAACACACGGCGTGGGAGACAGGAGAGAATTTCTTTTGTAAAATTCTTTGTGTCATGACGACGGCCGACAGATGTACCCCAGGCGAGGGCATGGTCCTCAAATGTGCTGCGTGCGACGACGACAACGAGACCAAGACGTTTGCCCTGCGCGGCACGCTAGCGCATGCCACGTCGCCGTCCACAATCGAGGTATTGCGCGATGCGCTCGTCGTCGTCACTGATGGCGTTATCACCAATATTGTGCAAGGCGCCGACGCTGATGCACTGCAATCGACGTTGCATGACGTCACGCAACTCGCCGAGGATAGCATTCTATTACCTGGCTTCGTGGATACTCATGTGCACCCGGCGCAGGTCACGTTTGCCGGGAGCGGCACTGACCGACCGCTGCTCGGCCCAACCGGCTGGCTAGAGTGCTACACCTATCCCGCCGAGCGCGCCTGGGCCGACCCGACGGTTGCGGCGGAGGTTTCGGGCGCGGTCGTGCGCCGCGCGCTCAAGCACGGATGCACGACCGCCGTTTACTTTGGCACAATCCACCTCGAGGGCACTCTCAAGCTCGTCGACGCGTGCCTTGAGCAAGGCCTGCGCGCCGTCGTCGGCAAGGTGTGCATGGACCGCTGCTCGCCGGCCGACTATGTCGAGTCCACCGAGGCGTCGCTGAGCGATATGGAGGCCTTCGTGCAGGCGACGATCGCCAAGGCGGAGGTCGCACATCCGAATGGGCCGCTCGTCCACCCGGCGCTCACGCCGCGTTTCATCCCGACGTGCAGCACCGCGCTGCTCGCGGGTCTCGGCGAGATCGCCCGCAAGTACAATGGCAGTGATGGGGGCGACGGCGGCTCGCGCGCCAACAAGGTCTTCGTGCAGTCGCACATCGCCCAATCGGCCGACCAGCTCGCCTTTGTGGAGCAGCTGCACCCGGGCCAGCGCGACGCGGCGCTCTTCGACGCCGCCGGGCTGCTCACCGACCGCTGCGTCCTTGCCCACGCCATGCATCTCGACGAGAGCGAGCTGCAGCTCATCGCCCGCCGCAAGTCGGCGCTCGCCTTCTGCCCGCTGAGCAACGTCTTCCACACGGAGAAGCCCGCGTCCACCCTCGACGCGCCGAACGCGTGGCGCTGCGGATGTAACGTCGGACTCGCGACGGACACCGCCGGCGGCTACGCCCCGTCGATGCTCCACGCGTGCCGCACGGCAGTCATCGCCTCGCGCTGCCTGCACAAGGACACGACCGTCGACTGGAAGTACGCCTTCTGGCTTGCGACGCGCGGCGGCGCCGCGGCCCTCAGCATGCCCATCGGAGGCTTCGAGGTCGGCAATGAGTTTGACGCGCAGCTCGTCGACCCGTCCGCCGGCGACGTGCTGCTGCTGCCGGGCGGCACGAGGAGGAACAGCAGCAGCACGCAGATGAAGGACAAGCCGCCGGAGGAGGCGATGGCGCTGGGCGTGCTCGAAAAGTATGTCAACCTCGGCGACGACCGCAACGTCGCGGCCGTGTGGGTGCGTGGAAAGCAGGTGCACCTCAACGACGCGAGCAGCGCCGCGGCCGCCTTTATCCGGCTGCGCGGCGGACACGGCGGCGGCGCAGTGGCGGCGAAGGAGGACGACGCGGCCGGCGCGGCGGAGTCCGTGCGGCTCTTCTCGGCGTACGTGCGCAGCGTGTGGCTCCTGCAGGGGCTGATGCAGTGCTACGGCGGCTCGTCCGTGGGCGGACTGTTCGCGCGCTCGAACACGGTGCTGATCGCGTGCGTGCTGCTCACGAGCCTCACCGCCTCGAAGCGCCTCTTCGCCGCGACCACCCTCGCGCGGCTCTGCCTCCGCCTCATCAACGTGCCCTTTATCTGGGAGGTCGAGATCTGGGCGGTCCTCATGGACCTCACGCTGCTGTGCAGCGGCTGCGACGTCGTCAGAGCCGCGGCCGCCATCCGCGCGCAGCTCATCACCTTCTACGCGGGCGCCGCCTTCTGGAAGATTAACACGTCGTGCGCCGTCCACCACGCGTGATACCCGAACCGCGGCGTTACTCTGGCCTGCTGACAGGCGAGCGCTCGAGCGTGCCCCCTCCCTTTTGCGGCAGGTTCCTCGACGCGACCACCTCGTGCGGCACCATCTTCTTCGCCCAGCTCCTGGCCGCGTACGCGCCCTCCAGCGTCGTCACCAGCCCCGCCGTCGCGTCGCTGCTCCGCCTCGCCGCGCCCCTCGCCGCCCTCGCCGTCGAGCTCCTCGTGCCCATCCTGCTCCTCTGCTGGCGGAAGCTCGGCCTCGCCCTCGCGCTCCTCTTCCACCTCCTCGTCGTCCTCACGCCGCCGCCCAATAACGCCGGCGGCTTCTCCGTCTGCGCCGCGCAGTACCTCTTCTTCTTCGCGCCGGACGCCACCGCCGCGGTGCTCTCCGAGGTCGCAAAAGGCGACACGACCGCGCGCGCCCTCGCGCTCGCCACCGGCATCGCCTTCTCCCTCGGCCGCCGCGTCGGCACGCACCCCTTCTTCTTTGACACGGCGCCGTGCGCCTACTTCGTCCAGCTCGTCATCCTCGCACGCACCGTCTACAAGATGCCCATGTTCACGGCGACCACGCCGACGACGACAGCGCCGCCTCCCGCAGCATCAGTATCGGCGACGCGCGTGACGCTGCCGCTGGTCGCGGCGGTGCTCTACGCGTTTGTGCTGCCGAGCCTCGGCGTCCTCGACCAGATGGCGCCCAATATGTTCTCGAACCAGCGCTACCACGCCGGCTCCAACCACCTGCTCGTGCCGACCGGCCTGCTGCACGCGTCCCTCGGCGTGGGCGCCTTCAGCGTCATCCGCGTGCACAAGACGTCCTCGCTCCTCATCGGCCGGCAGTACCCCGCCGAGGTGACGGCCTCGTTCGACCCGGCCGCGCGCCAGCTGCTCAAGAGCGTCGGCCACTCGGCACGCATGTGGAACCCTATGCTCGGCCGCGTCATCGGGCTGATGGCCGTCGCGGGGCCCGTGCCCGAGGACGCCGCGTCCAAGCCCGACGCGCGGTACACGCTGCCCGCGATCGAGCTGCGCCGCCTCATTGGCGAGGCCAAGGCCGCCGGCGAGTCCTTTGCGCTCGAGTATGCGCGCCTCGACACGCTCGAGCCGCCGAACGGCGCGGCGAGCGCCGAGGCGTGGCGCGCCAAAAGCAAGGGCACACACGTCACGTACACGTACGACGCGGCTAGTGGCAGCGCCAAGTGCCACGTCGGCAAGGGCCTCCTCGCGGGCCTCCTCTCGCCGTGTGCGCCCGACGAGGTGGCGCTGCTCCCGCCGCCGCCGTGGTGGGCGACCAAGCTCGCGGCGTTCCAGCCGTTGCCAATCTTGACGGGTGAGGGGTGGGGCGAGGTGCATTGCTATGGGCCGTGATTGAGAGGTTCGTGTAGTTTTGTGGGAGGGTTGTGGTGATTGGATGGCTCTTGCCTTCCGGAGGGTTGTGGTGATTGGAGAAGGGTTGTGGTGATTGGAGACTTGAAACTTCGGAAGGAAAGAGCTAGTCGTGGGGCGTGCGCGGCGTCAGCGACGACAGGTGCACGCGGTGTGCCTTCCAAAATGTCCGGCATTCGCACGTGCGGCCTGCCGCCGGTGGCAGTTTCTCGCCAATTCTCGCAGCTTTCACAAGTATTTTTTTCCGAAGAATATATATATTTTTAGCAATGCAATCAGCGATTCCTGTTTGCGACGTCAAACGAATGCACATCCCCATGCTCATCCTCGCCGCCCTCGCGACGCCCTCGAGTGCCGCCTCTCGTCTGCGCGAGGAGCCAATCACCACGCGCAACCGCACCTACAAAACCAAGACGCTCCGGACCGACCCGCCGGAGCTCGCCATCCCGGCGTCCGGCTCGCGCACACTCAAGAAGGCAGCGGAGATCCCGCCCCGCGACGCCTGGGAGGGCGCCACCTTCCATCCGACCTTCTCCTTCCCGTTCAACCTCTCCAAGTTCAGCGGCGCCGTCTCACGCGCCGCCGGCCCGACGTCCTTAAAGCACGCCATCGGCGCCTACGCCAAGCTCGCCTCCTTTGTCGAGACTTCCGGCGCGACCAAGATCGGCCAGGTGAGCTTCACGACCGCCACGGCCCGCTCAGAGATCGAGACGGCCTCCCTGCTCTTCCAGCCTTGTGCGGCGCTGGCGCTGCTCCTCGCGGCGTGCCGCGGGCTGCTCCTGCGTGGGCAGCACAGGTGAAGAAGAAGAGGGTGGAGGTCCGCGGCAATGCAGCTGACTCCGTCCACTTGCTCTCCAGCACACATGCTCTCCGAGTTGGCATTGTGGTCACATTCTTACTTCAGGGCGCATGCGGCACACCAGCGGTACAGCCCGTCAACGTCAGCAGCCCTTCGCCGCCGCCGCCCTCTCCGCCGCCGCACTCTCCGCCGCTGCCTCCGAGCCCGCCGCCCCCATCGCCGCCGCCACCCTCCCCGCCGCCTCCGTCGCCTCCGCCCCTCGCGCCGCCGCCCTCGCGTCCACCGCCCTTGCCGCCGCCGCCCTCGCCGCCGTCATGCACCTCGAATCAGGTCCAGCAGAATGCACCCAACGTCGGCGGTTGGGGCGGCACTTGCACCTGTCCCGACGGTGGCGTTTACCTGGTCGGTGATAACCTCGACTCCTGTGCCTCCCTCGCCTGCGTCGGTGGCGTCAGCGGCCTGTGCAGCCCGCACAGTGGGAATGGTGTGAAAGTCACGTGCGGCACGTGCGCACCTGCACCTCCGCCGTCGCCGCCGTCGCCACCATCGCTGCCGCCGTCGCCGCCGTCGCCACCATCGCTACCGCCGTCGCCGCCGTCCCCGCCGTCCCCGCCGCCACCGACTCTCTCTCCGCCTCCGCCGCCCTCTCCCCTGTCGCCACCCGTTCCGCCCTCTCAGCCGCCTCTGCCGCCCTCTCCGCCGCCGTCCGTGTCACCTCCATCCTTTCCAACCAATATGGACGCAACCGCTCTTGCCAACTTCGAAAGCTATGCTGGAAGTATCAACGGCAACTGGAACGACTATCGAGTTGCATACCAGCTTGGCGTTGCTGCCACCTCAGTTGACGGTCGTGATTCCGGCCACCAAGTAATGGTTGCTCGCTCGCCCGCCTTCACCGTGAACGTGCACGTTTCGTCTGTGCAATGCAGAACGCTAGGCGGAATAGGGGGCGGAGCTCCACTCGCCTCAAGTTCGTCCTTTTTGGGCGCAACGTCATCTCCACTTGGCTTCATGATAAACAAACTTTAGTTTGTGCTAGTGAACTGAGGAGAAGCGGGTCGAGCCTCGGCGCAGAGGGCAGCGCCTAGCGGGCGGGAACCCTTACCCCGCGCCCGTCGCTGCCCGCCGCTTTGTGCGCGGGACCTCCGAGCGCCACGAGGCTCATGACACAGCTCCCGACGAGCGTCGGCTCCTGCTCAGACAGGCGCCAACCTATCAGTTCTCAAAGCGAGATGGTCCTCCAGCTGCCAACCCTCGCAGGCGCGGCGCCCCAGGACGCCGCACGCGCCGCCAGCGAGCTGGCCAGCATAGACCCAGACGAATTTCCACACGAGCCTCGAGACCGGTGACATCCTCGTCATAGAGAAGAACTCCACCAAGAGCATCGCCTTCGTCACCAGCATCAGCGCCGGGCCGGAGGCCAGGATCGGCCTCGGCAGCCGGGCACCCCCCCGCCGCGGGGCAGACGATCTCACGGCTTTGCAGGGTCGTCAGAGAACGAGATCGTGGGCCTCCTCCGGCAGCCGGTCGGCAAGTGGCGCAGCTCGCCCGCGACGGGCGCGCGCGCGAAGATCACCTCCTTCTACACCGGCGAGGACGGCGCCACCACCGTCAAGCTCGCCGTCATCGTCACGGAGGGGGACGACGAGGCAGCGATCGAGATGCCGATACCCGAGTTCCTCTCCTCCTACCCCGCGGGCGCCGGCGCCGAGGGCGACGCTGCTGACGCCGGCGCCGGCGACGCCGAGCCGGCGTACGCCGCCCTCCGCGCGCTGCTCAACACCACGCGCGGTTTCTCCGCCTCCGACGTCGCCGACGAGGCCGGGGAGGAGGAGCTAGACGCTTTCCGAGCGGAGCTGTACAAGGCCAAGGAGCTGGGCGACCACGCCTCGTCCGCCGACCGCAAGGAGCGGCTCGTCGCGGCGGACGAGGCGGTCACCGCGGCGCAGGCGCGCGCCGGAGCCGACGCCGCGCTCCGCCCCCCTCGCCGGGCTCGCGCAGCAGCTGCGCACGGGTGGTTCGGCACCCACCATCAAGACGGCTGGCATCCTGGCCATGAGGTTCCTCAACAGCGTGGGAACCGCGGCCGCCGCCCCGGCACCGACCGCCACGGGGACGCAGGCGCAGGGCGGCCCGGCGCTCGAGCGCCAGCCCGCCGGCGTCGCTGAGCCCGCCTTCCTCCACTACGGCGCCGGTGCGCCCAACACGCCCGAGAGACGAGCCTTTCCACCCAGCCCGATGCGAGTCTGCGAGCGACCCCCGCCGGGGGCGATCCCTCGCCCCCCCCCCCCCCCCCTCGGCCGGCGGACACAGCGGCGCCACCGGCCGAGCCGCGAACGTGGCCCTCGAGGGCGATCCCCCCGAGGGCCGAGGGCGAATCCCTCCGTCACACGGCTGACATAC